TTAATAAGAAAATTTACCAACTATTTTTATAATAATAATTTATAAAGCATATTTTTCAATTTATGTTATATTGTTAAATTATGTTAAAGTACTCATTTCTTTCGTATTAATTTTAATTCCATATAATTAAATGTGTAATAATGATAATAATAATAATTTATTGGAATATAAAGGCAGATTTAAATATGGAACCTCTGACCTTTGATATCTGGGCTAAATAGATACAAAAAGAACGTGTACGTGAAGCGACATTTTGCAATCAGTGAATTTCTATTACCCGATTATGAAATTTGCAAATGATGCGTGAAAACTCGACACAAGTTTCATTATTTTTCAATTTAATATTAATAATTATAATAATTTATTTACAAATTTTAACGGATTTGCAAAAAAAGCAAAAATTTTCTTTCATACTCTTCAAAGAATTAGTAAAAATTTTAACTAATTTGAATTGGTGATTGACATTTTTCTTTCAAATCAGTTAAATTTTACTAAATTCAAAAGAAAAAAGTCAGACACTAATAAAAAATAAAATTCATTTCAAAATTTATTAAAACTTTTTTAAAAATATAAAAAGTTTTGCCTGTCGTATGTTTTTAAATTTTTAGAAATTTTAAACAATGCCTTATTTATATGGTGTTCTATTGACAAAAGTAACAATGACACAAAAATAGACAACAACAATGAGAGTGAAAAATTGTTCTCTAGACATTAAAAAAAAAGGAATTGTCTTTTTTTTGCTATTTAAAAATACCAATATAAAAAGCACAACAGGAGAACAAAATTATTCGATTTCTTTAGAAAGGATACTTCCTTCTAAAGAGGAATGGATGTAAAAGAAGGAACAGCACGATAAAACAATTCATGAGAGTAGAGGGTCATGTTGTGGTCCCTCGTCTGGTATTCCAAGAATGGTAAAACTGTTCCAAAGTGTTCTACTTCCTTCTAAATAGCATCGATGATCAAATATCGACTGCTTCAAGTAAATGGATCTTTTATGCTATTGGAAAATAGAACAACGACCCTGGAACGTATATCTATGGCAATATACTTATATTGACATATGTATATACAGGAAGGAATTTCACATAAATTTTTTTCTTCGTTTTCAAGTGCAAAAAAAAAAAAAAAAACGGGACGCATAAATAAGTTCTAAAAATCATTAGTTAGAATTTTCATTTTACAGAATTTCATTTGATATAATTATATCTTTGAGCCGAATTTTTATTTATTTGAATTTTATTATTTGAGTTTAAAAATATTTTTTTATCACTTTTATTATTGACAATAAAATGGAAAGGAAAGTCTTTATTTATATAAATGGTATAGAAAAGAAAAAGGATTCATTGAAATTTCAAGACAAACGCGTCCCTTTTCGACAGATAGACGACGTTTATCTCTATAGAAGTAGCATATATATAGAAAAAAAGAGAGCGCGGCTTCTCGTTGTGATTTGCCCTTCGCGAAGTCGACGCATTTCTTATCGAGTCAACTATTGTTCTCCCGCAGGTGTCTTCAACGGTCCTATGTCTTTCAATCTCTTCTCAGAGAGACAAAGGCAAGACAGATGAAATTTCAAGATCATCATTCTCTTATTTCCGTGAAATCTAAACCAAAAAAAAAAAGGGCAACGATTTTTATAATATTTAAACCTTTCTATTGTACTATATATATGTATAGCATTCCATATTTTTATCATTGTTCTAGATTTTGTTAAGTTATTGAGAAGAAAAATTTTCTATTTTTAAAAAAATTAAAATTTCGAACTTGAAGATTATGTACTTTTGGTAAATAATATTTTGTTTTTAAAGTTATGTTTTTTTTTTTTTTAAATAGAAGTAATTTTAAATATTTAAATTTAAATCTTAAAGATAATGGAAAATTTCAGATGTAAATTATAAAAGCGTCTTATTAACATCGAAGAAGTAGTATTATAAATTTTCATAAGTCACTGTGGTTGCGTGGTAAATTACATGCGCTTCGCGTCTCTATGGCCCAGGGTTCGATTCTCTATGTGTGCAAAAAATTTTAATTCTTATATTTTAATATCACATGTACAGTAATTGTTAATTAATCATATCTACTCAATCAAAAATTTACTAATGGCGCAGTACTGGCACCCAGTATTGGCGTAACTTTGGCCAATACTTTACCAGTATTGGCTACCAGAGTTGGCACCAGTACTGGTAACCACTACTGGTTCAGTACTGGCCGAGTACTGGCAGTTTTGTAATTTCTTGTATATGAAAAGAAAGATTGAACTGTAACAGAGATAAGTCTCACTCCAGGTAATACTTTTTTGGTATACTTAGGAAAAAGTGTCTGAAATTTTTAGTAACCCAAGACAAATTAAATATTAATTAAATTAGTCAACTAACTAATTAATATTTTATTATATAAAATCGAAAACACAAAGAATTTTCATTCCTTCTTATAATATATATTGCAAATTATTATTTTAAAAAAATCAAAAAATAAATATAAAAATATGTTTATTATAAAACCAAAATTTTTACAATATATAAAAACAGTTCAGTAAAAATAAAAATGTTTATAAAATAATTATAATGTATATAATTATGAATTATGCAATTAACTATTTAATTATTTGTAATGAATAAAAAAATTATCTATATTATTTTTAAATTAACATTAAATTTTTGTTTATAATTCACTTTTGGAAAAAAACTGAAGAATAACATCCAGAAACAAATTACAATAATTTTATTGACCATTGAAATATATAAGTTTGTAGGTTTAACTATTTTTTATAATTTCTATTAAGAAAGGTTAATTATATATTTTATATTATTGATAATATAACATTTGTGCAATTTTACTTGCGATTGTATTTAACTTTTTAAATTAAATTTACATTATAAATTTTATTTTAAAAAATATTAATTTTTTATAAACAAATTTATTTATTTTTAGTTCGATCGTTGAAATTTTTTTTTAGTTTATTGCATATCTGAAAACAAAAAGAAAATCTATTTGAGCCAGTACTGGCTCAATATCGGCTCAGTACTGGTTTGCCAGTACTGGGAGGCTGGTACTGCACCAGTACGGATACAATGAAAATACCAGTACTGGTTCAGTACAGAATGCCCAGCCACGGCAGCCAATACTGAACCAGTACTGCGCCAGTAGTTAACTCTGGTATAATACTGAAATTTTTGGTTGGGTAGAATCATTTAAAAATTCATTCATCATAAAACAAACAGAAAATTCTGTTTATTAATAAAAATTAATTAAAATTTTTTCCTTATTTTTTTCTGGAATATATATATAATTTCGAGGGAAAAAACTGCTTTTTCATAAATTTTATTGCGTCCCTGGATCGTTTACTTAAAGTCCCATATTCGTTCGAGTCATTAACTTCCTTACTGTTAAAAACGAAGGTAAAGAAGCTTGACGATTAAATTCACATGGTGTGACGCCACCGTTGGAGAATTGAGTCCATATATATACGAATTTTTTATAACGATCTGAAGCGCATATTTATAAAGTTCAAGAAAAAAGCAGTAGACATATATATATATATATATGTTCACTGTTGCCAGACAATTTTTGTTTATACCATCAGAGAAGTTAAAATGTAGATGAATCAGGGGGTTTTACCTTCGCAATGAAAATAACGTTACACATTTTTACGTACATATGAACATTAAAAATGTATATGTGGCTTCTTGAATATACATGTATGTATTTATAGGGTAATATTTCGCTTTGGTAGGACTTACGCATATTTATATACACACATGTGCATCACGCACGTGGGCGTCATTGACGAACAAAGGAAACTTTGCTGCACTGTTTTTGGAAGGTATATATATAATGATCGTTCAAGGCCGGAAGTTGTTGCAAATTACACCTGTACTTGAGAATCAGTGCGCGAGAAAGAAGAAGGAGAAAATTAAGAGACTCACAAAAATAGAGTTTTGGTCCACGCTTAATAAAAAAATATATATTTAATTTCAATAAGAACATTAGAAATAGTAAACATTTTTCAATTTAGGAAAAACGTGTTAAAATGTGAAATATTGATGTAAAAAATATTAAATCTCAAAAAAGAGTTTGTAGAATTATTAAAAAATTTTTATTAAAGTTCATAAATATGTTTATTACGATTTGAAAAATATTTATTTAAAATTGAAATATATTTTTTACTTTCTGTATCAAAATTTTTTATTTTGAATTTTTAACATAAGTTTCTAAACTATTAAAAATTGAGATGTTTTTTGCATATATTTATTTATTTAAAAACAAAAATGACGTTAAATTAAAATATAATGTGCATATTAACATATGTGTGTAAGTATGTAACAATAACATTAAATAAGGAAACAAGTTGTATAGTCTGTTGTTCTAAATAAATATCTCCATTCATTTCTTTTATGGCGACTTCCCGTAAGTAATAAAAATCTTTAAAATTACTTCCGTCACTAGAAATCGTTGCTTGTGTGCGAAGTAGAGAAAAAAAACATATCCAGACGAGATATATAGTAACTCGAACGTGCTTCTGCGTTATATGGAATTCAAAAAGGGACGAGAAAGATTGCATATAAGCAGAAAACAGAAGGCCTATATGTATATGGGGCATTCCACGGGAAATTTTAATTCGAAATTTTTTTCTTTTGACCGAAACATTTTTTTTTCGAAATCTGTGTGAAAAATAAGAAAATACGTATTTTTTTATTTGATAAAAATGAAGAAAGTTATTATTTTTTAAAATTTAACCTTCATTAAAGGCAGTGTTTTGTTGCTTTCATTATAGGTACGTTATTTTTGAGCATATATTTGAAAAATTTAAGAATAATTAAAAAATTTCATATACCTACAGCATAATTTTTTATACATTACTCTCTAAATTTAAATCAGCGGAAATTTCGCTGATTTTCTCAGTGGCTTTAACTTTCACTGAGAATCAGCGACAACCGGTGGAAAATCAGTACATACAAAATTGTAGGTTTGATTCTGCGCAGTAAATTCTATCAAAGCGACGCGACATTTTGTGCATTACGCGTATATGTTTATTTATAAGATAAAAGTTGAGAAAATTAACAGATATCAAATAAAATTGTTAAAATAGTAAGTATATTCACAATAATTTTATGTGTCTTCCTTATTGTAAGTTTCATGTCAATTAGTACTTCAAATTAAATCCAATTTTGGCAATGATTTACTTCTGTTTACATCAGTTTTGTTTATATTTTTGTAAGAAATTTTATAAAATATTAAATAATGATAATTAATTTTATAAATTATTTTTTGTACCATGCATTATTATTCTTATTTGTGAAGTGTATGAATTTAAACTCATGTGAAAAATAATTGACTTATTTAAATTGAAACATAACTTCACTTATTTGCTTTACATGATTTTACACTATTATGTTATATTAATTATTTATAAAATATAGACTTAAGTTTTCTTTTAAATTTGTAGAATAATAGCTTCAACGTGAAATGGATTCGGAATTTATCAAGAAACTAAAGGAAAATAATGTTCCAGAGGAATGTTTACAAATTTTGAAAGGTTTGTACCTGTAAGTTGAATTTAAAAAAAAATTTAATATTAAATAATTTAATGCAAACTTTTTATCCTGTACAATTTTCTATTTTATAGGAAGGAACAAATTTGCCGAACACAGTTTGTGATGTGAGAAAAGAAGTATCAGCATCAGTCCAACCATATATCCTTTTCGTGAAAGGATCAAAACAAAATTCCTTTTTAGTCCAAGGGGATGGAAGTTCTGTCAATGGCTTCGACCTATTGTTTAAATTTTATTACGTGTTAAATCTTTGTTATCCACCCGGGTTGCAAATTTTTTATAATTTTATTGAAAATTATATTTATGGCCTTAACACAGGAGCTCGAAGTGTTGTTGCATTGTTGCATATCAATTTGTGTAATATTATCGGGGAAGAAAACGAAGTGATTTTTATTTTTTTAATTAATGTATTTGAATAAAAAAATAAATAATCAGAAAACTTTTCTTCTTTCTTTTGTCACAAAAACTACTAGTAATAAATATTTATTTCACTGATGACTTCAGTGAAAACTAATAATTAAACCAGTGACCGTTCACTGATCACTTCAGTGAATAAATTTTTCACTGATTGAAATAGCGAAAATTCGCTGATTTTCAGTGGTATACTTATAGCTATTTCAATCAGTGACTATTCACTGAGAACCAGTGGGATTTCGCTGATTCAAATTTAGAGAGATAGTACAATAGATAAAAAAAAATGTTTCAAAAATACACTGCTTTTGATGACGTTAAATTTTAAAAAATCATAACTTTTTTCATTTTTACCAAATAAAAAATTACGTATTTTCTTATTTTTCATATATAGATTTCGAAAAAAAAAAATGATTCGGGTAAAAAAATAAATTTTAAATGAAAATTTCCCGTGGAATGCCCCATATACATGCAAAGTATATATTTGAGATGAAGTTTTAGTCATTCCTATAATACTCCCCCTTTGTTTGTGTACAGTATTCTAAATATACGGGGTCAGAAGGTCCCATTGATATTTTCTTTCTCAGCTGATGACTCCGTGTGCGAGTGTATAGTGTTTACGCGCAGGAAGTTTACTGCAAAAAATTACTAATTCTGGATGCTGTTTTAAAATTCAAACGATATATTGTACCGCATATAACACATACATAATATATTAAATTATAATGTAGTCGATTTTTCTTTTCTTTTTAATTTCGAGTTAGGTCGAAAGGTTTTGAGTATTAAATTTTAGAACTCGTATATTACGTTCATTCATTTTTTTCATATTAAAGAATGTAAAATATAATAAAATCTATCATAATATTCGGATTGATTCGGACGATTGAAAAAAATGTATATGGGTGATTCTCCGCGTAGCAAAATGATGGTTTAGCTTTTTAATTTGTATTTTAAAAATAATATTTAATTTTATAAATTAAAATGACAATAGACTTTTGTTTGTAAACACTAAAGTTACTTTTTCACGTTGGATTCATTGCAATATGTACAATTTATTTCTTAAAAAACACAAGGGATATAGAATTGTACGCTTCGTGGAGAATTATTCATATATATTTTTCATTCGGAAAATAATAATTAATTTTTTACCTACAAGGAAAAAAATATAAAGTATCTTGTACTATTTACAAAGTGAAACTTTTGTTCCGGAAATAGGCAAAATTACTACTGAAATAGTCAAATTTACTCTGGAAATGGTAATATTTACTATTTACGGAACAAAAGTTCTTAAAAATGCGCAGAAATTACGGGTATAGCTTAGGATTTACTACGCAGAAAAAACCTGGAAGTGCAACAAAAATGAACCAGGTTATTGGTGACGCCACTATCTATGTCGTTTAGCATTGGCTCATTTTGAGATGCAACAACAATGATAGACTAGGTTTTTTCTGTGATACGGAAGTATGGTAAAAATTACTTTTATTTTGTTTTCCATTTTTCCTAGCTTTTATTTTATGTTAATTTTTTTAAAATTACTCTATAAAAAAAGGGAATTAGACTTTAAATATACATTTGTAAAATAAATATTTAGCTCTGAGATAAATAAAAAATTTTCTCTTCAGATACATTTACCATAGAATCAAAACCAATTTGTTTCACCTCATTTTGCTTTCTCATGAAGAAGCTTCGCATTCGTGACGATTTTCGATTTTTTAAAATTGGGTTATATGGACTCATTTTCATCTATAGATATAATATATATGAAGTCCTGAGCAAATGTCCAGATGTCTGTGTGTGTGTATGTCACAAAATATTGTGTACAAATTATCTCAGAAACGTTTTAAGGAATTGTCCTGAAATTTTGTATGCTTATTGTAATCATTAATAGGGTAAATGCACCAGTGGTGGATCAGGCACCAATGGTTCATCAACAGCGTTAAATAGGTTAAAATAAGCTATTTCTAATTGAACTAAATGTTTCAATAGTTTAGGGGAGGTGTATAGATAAGTTTTATGAAATAAAATCATTTGAAAATATTTAGGAAAACAGAGCAATACAACAATTGTTGATTTTATGCTTTTTCACATGAAATCTTAAAAAATAATTGTTTAGTCTAAATTTTTTTAATTTTTAGAGTAGAAAGTAATCAATTCTTTCCATATAGAATACTTTTGGAAAAAAATTTACATCATTAAGTTATTTTTGTGTAGTGTAAAGGGGTAAATGATCCACGACTGGAGCAATGTCATTTTATTGTTGAATGGGAGTGTGAGGGGGTGTAAACGTTACAAGCAGGTCGAAAACTACACGATAGTGTCCTTGGAGACTTGTTAATTCATACTATTATAAAGATTACCCTATATTTTTCATCTGAAAAAATCTGTACACCTTTAAAGTCAAAATAATAAATTTAGTAGGCTTAATTGATCCACCACTGGTGCAGTTACCCTACTTAAAATCTGACACAAGAATTTCCGAATATATTCACAACATTTTATTTTTTACAATTTTTTCAAAATTTAAAAACAAAATTTTTTTTCAAAATATTTTTTTCTTTGTCAATTTAATTTTGTTTACTAAAAAAACTTATTTCTTGCATTAAAACGAGTCGATTAGCCTATATAAAGTTCATATTTTACTGAAATCTATAGATTAAATCATTTTTTGGAGTTTTTGAAAATAATCGTTTTTCGTATTTTTTGCAATAACTTTTTCTGATATAAAAATTTTAATTAATTCTTGTCAAAATTGTATTTCTGGCATAAAAACGAAACGATTGAGGTGCACAAAGTTTACATTTTACTAATATTTATAAAATTGATCGCTATATTAGTTGTAATCCTTCTTTTAATCTTGAATATAAGTGTATCATGATGAGGAAGCTAAATGGTCATGAAATGAACACCTATAGTTATTTTTAAACACAGAAAAAGAACAATAATTTTTTATTGTCATTTGAAAAATTTTCAATGTACATAATGTAACAAAAATATTGTTTTTGTTAAATTTTTATAAAAGAAGAGGAAAGAAAAAGAATATTCTCTTTGTGAGTAAAAATTTATTTTTGAACTTTTAGTTTGTTTCGAATAAGTTGAAAAGAAAGGAAAGAAAAATAAAGAGAGAAAATTTGCATTTGTAAATACTTCCGAGGAAAATATGAGTTGTGACAAAGGTTCTTTCTCTTGGTTATATTGCGAACGTTGACTGCACATGCGGCGGTCTTTGTCATCACGATATAGCGGCCGTGAACATAGAGTGTTAATGAAAACAAGACAAAATGATCGAACAAGGACTCAGCGGGATTTTCTTGCAATATACATATATATATATATATATACATAAGTATTTCCATCTCTGTTCTTTTTCACCCTTTCTTTCTCATCTCACTTCATGTTCAGTATAACTTCCCTTTTGGTCTCCACCTCCTCCTACTCTTCCACCCAACCCCCGTCACTTTTTCCAATGACTGTACACTTCTCAGAATTACACGGTTCTCCCATATAGTATATATAAGAGATGCTGCGAGTGTATATGTGTCTGGACCATTGGTTATCTCTCTGACAGTGTTTCTCAGACAGTGTGTGCGCGCGCCTATGGGGTTGTCGATCCTTTTCTCTCTCTTGCACCTTTTCAAAGTCATGATTGTCTGTCTTTTTTCCGACCTTGGTCCACGCTCTCTACATCTCACTAGAATTTTATGTTTTGCAGACTGCCTTCAACAAAAGGCTATCTACTACAATTTCAGGGTATTCTTTTTCTCTTCGGCGATATTATATATGTATATATATGGTTGTGTGTGCATTTCAGTAAAGAAGAATTGAGCGGGTGGTGGGACGATGAGATAAGTTTTCGAGAATTTACAATTCTCGTTAAAAACATGTCAAATTTCTTCTTCCCATCAAATTTTTATCAGAGTGGCATAAATTACACTTTTTTTCTACACGGAGAAAAATAGTTAGCTATATTAGTTAAAATTTAGTTACCTTAGCTAACCACAATTGAGGGGCCGGAAACAATAACAACCAGTACGCTCGGCCGGTCGCTTTGAAGCCAATCAACACCTCAAAATTGAAACTCAAAATTCGGATTTTTCAGAACCAATACCTTATAGAAAATAAAAAAACATATCTTTTTTCTCTTAGAAACTTTTTTTTAAATCCAATATTTTTGATAATAAAAGCAAAAAGCCCAAAAAAAATTTTATCAAATGTAATGAAATTTTAAAATGTAAACGATTATTTCTTTCACAAATAGTAATAAATTTGTTTACAACTTGGTATACATACTAAATTAGGTCTAATAAAGCCATTAAAAACATTAGAAAAGGCAAAAAAAATTATTGTTTTATTATTTTTAATTAAAAATTGAAAGAGGTCGATATTCACATTTTCTAACTTTTGACGATAAAATGTCTGCAGGGAATTTCAAAACTGTAAGAACTTCTCTTATAATATTTATTCACTACTATTTCAGGAAGTTTTCTGCAAAATTCCAAATCAATTCCTGTTACAGTTTTTAAAAAAATTAATTTTCAAGAAAAAGCGGATAGCCCATCGCGTTCACTTAACCCGCTGGAGACTCTTTCTTGAAGTATGTGAAATTATTTCGGCTCGAATAATAAGAAATTAGTGAAATAAGAAGAAAGTTATGTTTATTTTTTGTGATCAGTATTTTATATGTATGTACATTAGTATTAGAATTGTTAACAATATTAATATTAGTAACATTTATAATTCATACTTGATATTTTGTAAATATTTAAAATACGCATATTATAAATATAATATAAATAAATATAAAGAATATAAATATTATAAGAGAAGTTCTAACAGTTTTGAAATTCCCTGTAGACATTTTATCGTCAAAAGTTAGAGAATGTGAATATCGACCTCTTTCAATTTTTAATTAAAAATAATAAAACAATAATTTTTTTTCCCCTTTTCTAATGTTTTAATGGCTTTA